ATATATATATAATATACGTAATAATATTTATTAATAATACATATTTAATCACATAATAACATTTAGACATTTAATATGAAGATGAATAATAATAATAAAGCAATTAAACAATTAAAATAAATAAAATAGCAATATTAATAATGTCGAAATATCCAAAAAATCCATTATTCAGACAGATTATATTTGGGTCACGCGATTAAATTGAAATTGCCTAATGACGAACGTTTTTCAATTAAAACGATCGAGTACTCCAACCTTTTATTTAAATCGGCATCGCGACTAATAAAATAAATATAACCTTAAAAATAATATTCAATAAATAGAATATTTCGAGAAATTCTATAAATCGAACGAGGCGTTACAGATTGAGGACCCAAATCCAGGGGAAATTGACAATAAGCAAATGTCAAATCTAGTGAGCATAAGCATATGTGTCTTACACAAAAGTTGGTGCATATATACAATACACCTCATAGTCTGATCTCCTTATCTTATGGAACAATTTCATCTCATCTTTCGTTCCTTTTCCAAGCCGATTCACCTATTTTAACCATCTTTTGCCAAATGCTTATATGATGCAACTCTCTCAGAATTAAAGATTCTCTAATTTTCAATATATGGTCCTCATGTTTTCGTTTTTCATTTGATTAACTAATATAGAATGGAGATAAACGCTAAGGACTCATTGTATGCCGTCATTTTGTTTTCTTCAACTTTTTGAATGATTCAAACTTAAATTATTATACACGGTATCTACATCTATATCTATATATATATAAAAAGATTTATCATTTTGAAAAATATTTTTATTTGACATTAGTTCGTCAGTTCGAACAAGCACCTGGAACCACAGAAATAAAGGGAAGATCTTTGAATATTTTATTTCCTTAATTAAGTTTATTTTATATTCCATATATATAAGATTGTGTAGATCTTAGTATGGGTTTGCATATTGTAGGAGATCGGACGTGAGAGTGATAAGGAAGAGAAGAGACGTGCATGGATAGCAAATCAAGAGAGAGAATAAAAGATTTACTTGCCAAAGATATGCTATTCTTATGGAAGAAAATCAAGCTTGGAGTCTTATGCCTTGTAGAAGACTCCAACCCTAAGGAGTTCATATAAATACCCTAGGAGAAGCTCCTATTGAGGCTGCTGAAGTTAGAGAGATTTTTAGAGCAATATTTGAGCTTCATATTTTCCGTTCTTTTCAGTTGTACACAGTTCAGTACGAGAGTTCTTACAAACTCAAGGACTGAAGTTGTTTTTGCTTAGTTTCTTTGTTTCATCAAACTATCTTTTACTTTTACACTTAGGGAGTAAGTGTAGGATAAAAAGTCCACGGGACGTGGCCATAGAAATAGTTGATAGGATCGTGAGTAGTGTTGGCTAGGCTTAAAGGGAGTTTGAGTCTTTGTAAGTCCAAACTATGTTCGTGTTCGATCTATCAATGAAAGAGCTCTGAGGGGAAGTGGGATGCTTCCCTGAAGAGATTTTAAATCTTCGATTTATTATTTCCGCATTCTACAATTCTTATTTTAGTTCGTACTACAATTAGCGCACTCCGTGATAATTATATGTTTCAATTGGCACCAGAGCAGTGTTCCTGTTCTAACTACGAGATAAAGATCTTTGGGATTGTGTGTCGGTCACCATGAGTCATGATGGTGGGATGTCTGTCTTGCGCCCTCCGTTCCTTGATGGCTTTAATTATGCTTACTAGAAATCAATGATGGTGATCTTCCTTCGATCTCTTGGCAAAGGCACGTGGCAGGTTGTTGAATCTGGTTGGACGGTACCTCTCCAGGAGAAGGTTCCTGCTGAAACTAAAACATCGGTGTCCTCCGATGGGAAATCGTCAACTAACAAAGTACTGGTTGAAAAACCAAGGAGTATCTGGACTGATGATGAAAAGCAAGCAGAAGAGGCTAACTTTCGAGCTTTATATGCTATCATGTCTGTTGTAGATCCCACTCGGCACAAGATAATAATTCAGTGCACTACCTCTCAAGAAGCTTGGAGGATCTTGGAAAGACAATTTGAGGGCACAAACGCTGTTAAAACATCAAAGCTCCAAAGAGTCTCAACTGAGCTCGATGAGATCCGTATGAGGGAGGATGGAACCATTGACATGTACTATGCTCGGTTCTGCAACTTGGTTAATCAAAGTGCAATACTTGGTGAGCCGGTTCCAGAAGCTAGGCAAGTGCAGAAACTTATGAGAACTCTACCGGATAGGTTTGGGATTAAAATTACACCACCAGAAAGTTTTCAGAGGATTCATAAACTGGGCATTGATGATCTTCTCAGCGAACTTCGCACCTTTGAAATCAACCATGGCTTTGACTCTATGAGGATAAGCAAAGGGAAAGGGCTAGCTTTAAAGGCCAAGGTTCGTACTGCAGTTGCTGAAGATGATGAATCCGATGAAGAATCTTTTGATGCGGATGAAATTACGAAGGCTCTCACCGTGCTCACTAAGAATGTCTCAAAGCTGAAGAAATTTCAGAGAAAGAGATTCCAGGGCAACAGGTCCTTTGAAGGTGGTAGGAACCAAATTCAGCAATTTGGAGAAAAGCGGTCTGGCATGCAGCTGAACAAGTTTCAGAATTCTAACCAATGAGTAGAAAAAGACCAGTGTCGTGAATGCAAAGTCTTTGCCACTTTCAAAAGGAGTGTCCTAATTTCAAGAAGAAGAATAAGACGTTCAAGGCTACATGGTCTGACTCCAGTGATGACGATGAGGAAGAATCTGAAAAGACTGAGAATTCAAACTATTTAAATAATTCTGCTAAATGTCTTTTAAATGAATATAACTGTTTTACTTCCTCAGTTCATTTGACTGATGTTGAGTCTGATGCAGGTTCTTCTGCAAAGAATTTGAGCGATGTGGATTCTGATGAATTCTCGGATCCAGCTGCTGAAAATCTCGTACTTCATAAGTATGCTACTGAAAAATGTCTCAAGGCAGCCGAGATCATCAAGAAGTACCAGGATCAAAAATTGAAGATGAAGGCTATGGAACATAAATCTGCTGAACGGGAGAAGGAGATTGTCTATCTTAGGGATGAACTTCAGAAGATGAGGGTATTGACCGTTGATCTGAACGAGAAACTCATCAAATCAGACCTTCATATCGGAAAGCAAGACAAGGAACTAAACAGTTGTTTCGCAAAGCTTGCACTGGTTGAGCATGGGGATAAACTCAACAAACAGGCAAGTGAAGAACAAAACTTTACCATTGAATCCCTACGTAACGAAATGTTTTCTGTCCAAAATCTTTTAGGTGAAAGAGAAACTAAAATAGTTGTCCTCAAGGAGGAACTTGGTCGAGTAATGGAAGAACATCTGACACTTCAGAGTCATTGTTCTACTCTTGAAGAGAGTGTTGGTGTTATATACTTAAGCTTTGCTTTAGTGGATATTACACTTGTTATTTCTTGATGGATGAGAATTATGTTTGGTTAAATAAGTTCCACGTTCTGTTGTTTTGCATGTAGATAAGTGAGTCGTCATCGGGCGTACCGAAGATCACTATATCAGTTACTTGCGAAACAAGAATCATTGGTTCACAACCTAGATGGAATTGAACAACCCATCGGAACGGTTGTAGTGTCAACCGTACGGTTTGTCTTAACCGATTAGTTGCACTTGTACATTTATGTATTGAACAGGATCCCAGAGAGGGATGTTCGTTTTATACTGATCGTCGTAAACGAACTAGGCCTCAGTTAATTATTGCGTGCTATTAACCCGTAAGATATTAAATAGGCATGTGCACATAATTGTTGTTGCTTTGATTCTTTGGGTGAGATCCAACCCGGGTCGACGTACTTAATGAATTGGATAATGACATTATGTGTTTGATGTGCTATTAGGATATTTACGGTCACCATGTGCGTTAGTCTGATGATGTCCCCGAAGTGAGTTCATGAAGGAATATTATGCTAAACCCTGTAGGTGGATTTATTCCGGCATAATATGAATGCTATGAGCGAGCGCTAGCTTCGGTAATATAATATATTAATTAATTCTTGATTATTAGTGATTGAATTAATTAATGGACATTATATCTTAAACATGGGGAGGTAAATCGGATAATTATAATAAGGAGTCTCAAATATAATTTGGGATAGGTAAAGGGAGTGCAATAATATTATTGTGGTGGACTTTAATATATTCATATATTAATTGTGGGGTTGCTCCACAGTATTAATATATTAGAAGCCCTTATCCTATTCTCCTTAGGGTCCCTACTGTAGCTCTATATATACATCATTAGGCTCTTGGAAGAGAGACACAATCCCATAACCTAAGCAATTCGTCCGCCCCCTCTCTCTCTCTCTCTCTCTCTTCCAAGGAGTTGTTCTATTTCTTGTGCTCCACTGATACAAGATCTAGATAGCTGTTTGAGAATACAGTAGAAGATCTTAAGGTATATACTGGATTCTAATCAGATCTATCATCCATCCAAACCGGAGACCAAAACCAGCAAGTGACCATACCACGACGACCAGGACGACGAGTCAAAGTGATCGTCGTCGAGATCGCCGCCAGCCGCCGCCGCACGCGCCCATACGCGCCGCCGGAAGATTGTAGCTGCTGGGTCTCACACGCGCGCGTGAGAGCACGTGAATGCTCCGTTTTTTGACCGATCAACGCCGTTGACTTTGCCGTGACGCCAGCTTTCTGGATTGGTCAAGTTTGTTCGATTCCGAGAAGATTTGATTTGCGGTCATCTGTTCGGGCCAGCCAGATCTACATAAATTTTAAGCCGTAAGTTTTCTACATCAAACCTTTAGATCCGCTGCGCATATGTTTATGTTGTATGTTTATCCGTGATTTGTGCATATCGAGATCCTCATAGGTCCCAACAGAGAGGCTTAGTAAGAGTGAGGAAGTTGTCAAAATGATCAACAAGCCAAAGACTCCATACGCTGAAGTTCAAAAACTAGGTCAGCAGATTGGTTCATCCAACCCAAGTAAGAATGCCCAGAACTAGAAACTGAAAGGGAAGGTTGGAGAATCGAGCTCATCACTGAGTAAGGTTGATCTGACTTTTGTTAAATAAGGTTACTCAATTGAATCCAAGAAAGGTAAGCCAAACTCTCCAAAAGCCCAACACAAAAATTCTGGTAAGAACTTTGTACCAGTTTGTCACTAATGTGGGATTCGCGGTCACATTCGTCCCAAGTGTTATAGAATGCATAATGATATATACACGGGCTGAATTAATGACTGGAGTCCTCATGGTGTTCCTTTAAAAGCACCTAAACTGAAAGTTGATATAGTAAATCATGAACAGAAGAAGATCTGGTTTCCCAAGGCAAGTAAGAACATCTGCCTATCCTCTATACTTGCTTTAAAATCCACATCTAATTCTGACTGGTATTTTGATAGTGGATGCTCTCGTCATATGACAGGTTTGAGATCTAACTTTACTAATATTATGCTTGTCTCCTCTAGTTCAGTAACTTTTGGTGATGGGGCAAAGAATAAGGTTCTTGGAGTTGGGTGCTTGAATGTTCCTGGTTTGCCCAAACTTAAAAATGTTCTTTTGGTTCAAAACTTGAAAGCCAATCTCTTGAGTATCAGTCAATTATGTGATCAGGGTTTGTATGCGAATTTTACTAAGACTCAGTGTCATGTGTCTGATCAAGAAAATAAGCATGTTCTTACTAGTACTAGATCTAGGGGTAACTGTTATCTTGTGGAACTTGATTTGAAGTGTAACAAAACCAGTATTGATTTGACTGAACTCTGGCATCAAAAGCTAGGTCACATTAACTATCCTCACCTGATTGAACTCTCTTCCACAGGGGCTGTTCGAGGTCTGCCCAAGCTGAAGAAGAAAGAACCACGAGTTTGCAGATCATGTCAAATGGGCAAACAGAAAAGGGCATCGCATAAGAGGTTGACAGAGGTCAGTACAAACCGTGTAATGGAACTGATCCACATGGACTTGATGGGACCAATTCAGGTCGAAAGCTACAGTGGTAAGAAGTATATTCTAGTCTGTGTGGATGATTTTTCTAGATTTTCTTGGGTTGACTTTCTTAAAGATAAGTCTGAAGCACTTGATGCTTTCAAAAAACTCGTGTTAAAACTGGAAAATGAAAAACGAACTAACCTTGTGGCAATCAGGAGTGATCATGGTAAGGAATCTGAGAACCGTGGTTTTGAGTTATTTTGTGAATCACGTGGTATATTTCACCAGTTTTCTTCTCCTATCACTCCACAACAGAATAAAGTTGTGGAACGTAAGAACAAGACCCTTCAAGAAATGGCGAGAGTAATGCTAGTGTCGCAGAATATGTCCTTAAGTTGGTGGGCAGAGGCGGTGAACACGGCATGTCATATAATCAACCGTGTGTATTGCAAGAAGGGAACCAGATTAACTTCATATGAAATGTGGAAAGGTAAAGCACCAAATGTGAAATATTTTCACACCTTTGGGTGCAAGTGCTATATCTACAATGACAGAGAACACCTTGGTAAGTTTGAGTCAAAGAGTGATGTAGGTCAGTTCCTTGGTTATTCTGCTAACAACCGTGCTTACCGTGTGTATAATTTGCGCACTGAGGTGGTTATGGAGTCTATAAATGTTGTTTTTGATGATGCTCTTGAATGTGCTGTTGTACCTGATGTGATCAACATAGATGTGTCCAGTGGTAAGAAGTTGTCAAATTCTGAAACTGTGAATGTGTTAAATGATGTTAAGTCTGAAACCCTTGAATATGATAAAACTGTGGAATCTAATGAATATGTTGTTCCAACGTCCTCCGGATATCCTGATGAACCTCGGCGAGATCCTCCTGCCAAGATTCAGAAGGATCATCCTAAGGAACAAATCATAGGAGGTATATCTGAACGTAACACTAGAGGAGTTAAACCTGATTTTCGAAAGATGGCTGGTTTGTGTCACCTTGCATGTTATGTGTCTAAGTTGGAACCGAAAAATGCTAAAGAGGCCCTGTGTAATGATTTTTGGGTTCAGGCTATGCAAGAAGAACTTGAACAGTTTGTGAGAAACGATATGTGGGAACTTGTCCCTAGACCTTCTGATTCGAACGTCATTGGAACAAAATGGATTTTTAAAAATAAGACGGATGAATCAGGAGAGATTACTAGGAACAAGGCCCGCCTTGTAGCTCAGGGGTACACCCAAGAGGAGGGTGATGACTTTGATGAGACATTTGCCCCTGTAGCTCGTCTAGAGTCCGTTAGAATGTTCTTATCTATTGTATGCTTGCTTGGTTTTGTGACTTATCAAATGGATGTAAAGTCTGCATTTTTGAATGGCTTTTTGAAAGAGGTTGCTTATGTTAAGCAACCTGAAGGGTTTGTAGACCCTCATCACCCTGACCATGTGTATAGGTTGAAGAAGGCGTTGTACGAATTTAAACAGGCTCCGCGTGCCTGGTACGAACGTCTAACTCAGTTTTTGGTCAAAATGGGGTACTCTCGAGGGGGAGTTGATAAAACTCTGTTTGTTAGAAAGTCTAATAAAGATATTATCATTGTACAGATTTATGTAGATGATATTATCTTGGGTTCTACCTCGAGAACTTGGGTCAATGAATTTGTTACTCACATGTCTA